TCTTGAAGACTCAGGAAGAAAAGGCACAGTCTCATATATGAAATCGAGTAGTCCAGCGGAGGCACGATTGCCCAAACCGAAAGCAGCAAGATAGAAATTTCAATAAAACTGCCATACACAGAACCTCCAGCCTGCCAAGCAAATGTCCACAAAAAACGAGCCGAGCGTTGCCGACGCAGGCCCCTACATGCTCGGAGAACTGGCCTTGCTCATCATCATCTGAATGCCAGTAATGCGTCCACGCACCAATGCTAGCTATAGTCTTTGTAGTATAACCCGAGAATAATTTGTGACCGGAAATTCCACAAAGCAATTCTGGAATGAGGATGAACCAAACCCACATTCCCAAAAAATCTTCTTCCAGCGTTAGAAACAAGCAGAAAAAAACAAAATATGGGCCAAAGCAGTCCATGAAGCAGAGAAAAGAGACCATACAGACAAGCACATATAACAGGATCAACAAACCTGGAGGCTAACCAAGCAATCCTCAACAGCAAAACCAAGGAAACTAGCGCAGAAAACTAGATGCCCGAAAATTCTCTGAAATAACTGATGATTTTGTTTTTCCATTTTGCAGTTTTCATTCTAACAGCCGATGATATATTGCAAATAACTTTAACCACATTATTTCTAAGAATAGAGAAACGTCAGTTGTTCCTTTCCCTCCAAATATGATAAGTAATGCAGCTAATGGCTAAATAACAAAACTCTTTTTTAGTTCTATTAAAATTCACAGAGTTTTCAATGAAATCCAAAGCCTGTGGCAGTGAAGGCCTAAACAAGAAGCTGTTAAATTCCGGCAGAATATTCTTGAGAATATAAAAGGTGAAATCACAATCAAAAAATAAGTGAGTGATTTTCAAGATGACACGAGCAGAGACAGCAGTTAAGAGGCACCTGGATACCTCTAAGCTGCAGGTTATCCGCAATTTTAAGTTTACCAATCCTTGCCATCCATGTAAAACAAGCATACTTAAGGGCATGATTTTTGTGCCAAGTGGATCTATACCAATCCACCTTGGGAATATCAGAGTAAAAAAACTCAATGAAATTTTTAAAAACCCATTTAGGAGATCCATCCCATAAAGCCTCATTGTTTTCTTGAATTACCACAATCTCAATGCTCTCATAAATACCCGTAGGAATAGAATTAGGCAGCTGCCAAGTATCATTCAATATAAAATCTTTCACTAGAGCATCTTCCAAAACCGGTAAGTGAAAAGTTTCACCGATAAAGTGTCCATTAAGCCACGGGTCCCAGAGAAAAGAAAATTTACTGTGCTTAGACACAGAAAAAGATAACACCTCTTTAATTTTTAAAACTGTTTCAGAAATTTTGTGCCAGAATTTAGAGGCAGTTGGAGGAGGGTGCTTCCAGGGAGTAATGTACTTAGCTTGATACCAACAACTAAGAAGATTTTGTTTATTATAGAATCTGCCAATAATAGAGCAGAAAACACCAAAATACAGGGCTTCAAATGAGGGAATGCCAAGACCCCCTGCAGATTTAGGAATATTGACTTTGGATCAAGAGATGAGGTGCAATTTTCTCTCCACCATATTGTTGTGAAATAAAAACTTAGAGCAAAGTTTATTGATAGTAGCACAACAACCCTTAGGTATGATAGATCCTCTGATCCAATAAGCAATGGAGTTTGTGATTGTGAATTTAAGAAATTGGACACTACCTGCAAAAGAAAGAAACTTGTTTTTCCAACCTGCAAGTAGAGCAGAAATTCTGCTCAGGAGAGATTGGAAGTGAGTGGCTTTAAGTCTTTTAGGAGATATGGGGATACCTAGGTAGGTAAGGTGTTGATTGACATTATGGATACCAAGTTCCTCACAAATCCACTGGTTTCCCGGGTCATTATTTGAAAAGATGATAGCACTCTTGTTGGTATTGATTTCAAGACCGGATAAAGAGGCAAAAAGTTGTAAACAACTATTCAGTTGAATGGCATTGCCTCTAGTAGATTCACCCATCACCAGAAGATTATCGGCATACATCAAATGATTGATATAGAAATATTTGCAGCTAATACCTTTGAAATTATGAGGTGCAGCAGGGTCAATAAGGATATTAGATAATCCATCCATAGCAATACATAAAAGGAGGGGAGATAATGGTCAGCCTTGTCTAAGTCCCGAACTAGATTATGGTAACATGAAAAATGAGATAGCAGACCGCTCCATTGAGTTTATTATTCATATTTTAACGTGACTAACACGCAAACATCACAGTATTAATTAAGGGAATTTGTGAGCAGAGAGAGCTCGATCCTCAATGTCAGATCTATCTGTCAGTACAAAGTAGACATGATTTTAAAAACCAACCCTCTGATTCAATTTAGATCACCTCCACTTGAAATTAAAGCTATTAATGAGTATGAGTCATAAATGAATGTTTAAAGTTGAACTTTAAAGATTTGCTATTGGTGGAATTGAGAGAATCAGCAGACATCTCCAAAGCCATTGTTTGCCCTTATACAATAGTAAATTTGCACTTCAGATCTCCTCACCTCTCAGTTTGAAAGCTGCAGGTAGTAAAGGGTTGGAGTGTTGGAGAAATATGGAGAGAATGGAGAAACAAAAAAAAATGCTCATCTTTTCTTATTTAATAATTTATATTCCTTATAGCTACATTTATGGTTCTATTTTAACTTGTTTTGCTTTAGTGGACTCTTTGATGATTTTTATACAATTTGCCTTGATGGAATACTAGATATATATATTTTTGGTTTAGTAGTTCATTGCTAGAGTTTTTGTCATTAAATTTTTTATTTAGTAATTCATTGCTAGAGTTTTTGTCATTAAAAGCAAATGGTTTTTATTTTATTCGCTTAATAATAATCACACGCTAATACATGAATTTATTAATTCTCATTTTGGATGGATGATTATGATAGTTATGTAAATATTTAAATTTATGTATCATGTGTATAAAATTTTCATAATAAAATTGATTTTTTTGAATTCTGATCCTTCAATTAGAACACATTTTTAATTCTTACTATCTTTATCTCTTTCCTTTGGAAGCTATCTCTTACAGAAAATTAGTTTCTTGTAAATTATTAAATCTTGTTAAGTTTTTACATTTGAATTTTTGCCCAAAACTTTAAATAATGTGCAATCCTTCTGTGCAATTCTTTTAGGTTTGCATTTTTGCTTATGGACAAACTGGTTCATGCAAAACTTATACCATGATAGAAAAACTAGAAACTCATGAGCAGAAAAGATTGATACCAAGATCCTTGAAACAAATCTTTAAGACCAGTCAAGCTGTGAAATACCAGGGATGGGAATACAAAATGCATGTTTGACATTTGCAATTTATTTCTATTGTTTGCACTCATTTTTTTTAATAATGAAAAATTATTCATTCTTTTCTTATTTTTTCTTGATAATTTTTTTTTTAATTTTTTATAACTATCAATGTTGGAGATATATAATGAGATAATCCGTGATTTGTTGTCTCCATTATCGCATAAAATAATATATGATAAAGCATGATTCAGGTGATAATCCGTTTATCAAGTTACTTGTTATGTACTGCTTGATTAAGAATGAAAGAGACTTCATTTTTGTTGCACACATTTACCACTGTAAGGTCTGAGATAAACGCATCACCAGCTGAATCATGTCTTATCGTATATTGTTCTTTAATATGCGATGTTGGAGATAACAAATCACGAATTGTCTCATTATATATCTCCAACATTGATACCAATAAAAATTAAAAAAAAATTGTCGGGAAAAAATAAGAAAAGAACGAATAATTTTTTATTATTAAAAAAAAAATGAGTGCAAAAAATAGAAATGAATTGCAAATATCAAACTTACATTTTTTATTCTCATCCCTAGTATTTCACAGCTTGACTGGTTTCAAAGATTTGTTCCAAGAATCTTGGTATCAATCCTTTCTGCTCATGAGTTTCTGGTTTTCCCATCATGTTATAAGTTTTGCCTGAACCAGTTTGTCCATAAGCAAAAATGCAAACCTAGAAGAATTGCACAGAAGGATTGCATATTATTTAAAATTTCAGGCAAAAATTCAAAAGTAAAAAACTTAACAAGATTTAACAATTTACAAGAAACAAATTTTTTGTAAGAGATAGCTTCCAAACGAAAGAGACAAAGACAACAAGAATTAAAATTGTGTTCTAATTGAAGGATCAGAATTCAAAAAAATCAATTTTATTATGGGAATTTTATGCACATGATACCGAAATCTAAATATTTACATAACTCATAATCATCCATCCAAAATGAGAATTAATAAATTCATGTATTAGCGTGTGATTTGTGTTAAGCGAATAAAATAGAAATCATTTACCTTTAATAACAAAAACTCTAACAATGAACTACTAAATCAAAAATTTAATGACAAAAACTCTAGCAATGAACTACTAAACCAAAAATATATATATCTAGTATTCCATCAAGGCAAATTGTATAAAAATCATCAAAGAGTCCACTAAAGCAAAACAAGTTAAAATAGAACCATAAATGTAGCTATAAGGAATATAAAAAAATTGAACTTACCTTATAACCATCAAATGCGTTTTGCACAAGCTGTAAGATTTCAAAAATACATCGTCTTATGATGCCTCATGATCAAATACTTTGTCAAAGATAAAGGAATGGTTTTGGTCATATATAAAATAAAAATAATAAAAATCATTGAACTTCCAATTTTGAAGTTTCTAATTCACCAATTTAAAGAAAAATATTAATTACAGAAAATAAAAAAAGATACATCTCACCATTATGCATCAAGTTAATGTCACGTCGAAGATGTTCAATGTTTTTTAATATGAAATGATTGTTTCATCAGTTCTCCTAGATTTATTATTTTGTAAAGTACTATAAAAAACTCGAATGTTTTCTTTCAATTCCTGCGAAAAAGAAAAAGTTCAATAAAAAAATATTTAAATTACTAAAAGCATAAACTATATGTAAGAAAAATATCAAAATTATATCATGTAACTTCTTTCGCACATTCTCAGCTTTAATAAATTGATTCATTTGAAACTTCAAAAATAACATAAAATTAGTTATACATATAAAATATATGAAAGATTTTTGTGAAAGCATCATACCTTGAGTTTTTCATCTGAATCTTTTAACATAAAGTTTAAGTTTTTTTACTTCCCATTCTAAACTTTTTATTTTTTCTCTCTGAAAAAAATATTTCTCCTGATAAAAATTAGTATTAAAAAATATAAGAAAATAAAATGACAAAAGAAAATTTAAGTGCTGTAAAAAAAGTAAATAAAGGAAACCTCATGCACAATAGTCATTTTTAGCATCATGTTCATTTTATTTGTGGTCCTTTTAATAAATTTTTCATCATACACCTTGACTTGTTGCAATTCATTTCCTACTTCTTTCCTTAATTCCTCCTAACATAGCACAGGAAACGGTCCAGACAGTTCAAAAATCATAAAAAAGTAAAATATGACAGTAAATAAATCTGGTTTATCGAAGCTGGTGATATAAAGAACTTCAAATTTTGCGCCTAATGGACAAAATCAAAGATGTTGGGGATAAAAAAAGAAGGAAATACACATGAATTGGGTAACGTTCGACATTGGCAATTAGAATCTCTTCAGGCAGATCAATAGAGAATACTGACCAATAAGTCTTCAGTTCATTACGAACCTATAAAATTAAGAAGAAACATAAGGAATAGTAATAAAAAATGCATAATTAACACAAGCAAGAAAGTTAAAATGTAAAACCCAAAGTACCAATATGGGCATGATCCAATCAGCAAATCAGTTTATACCTCATTGATTACATGCCACATGGATTCAAAAGGCCTGCCCCCAAAATTTCTAACAATAGGACTCCCTTCTAGTAAAGTTTTTGCACAAGCAAAAACTGAATTAGTTAGAGAGCTGAGATTGTAACCTCCTTCAAGGGCCAAGACAATCTTTCCATCAGCAAATTTCATCAATTAAAAAACAAAGAAAAAAAATTGGATTAATTGACAGGACAATAAAAAACTGCTTCTATATATAATTGAGACAAGATTCTAATTCTGCTACTGAGTAGGCAAAGAGAAATCCGAAGAAGAAGAAAAGACTAAATGAATATCATGCATGGGCATAGAAAGAGAAAATAATTCAACAACCTGCCTAAGAAAGTAACAATGCATGCAAATAATGGCACATATACTGGTTAGCTAATGAAAGCCAAAAATAAAAACAGCCAAGTTCAACATCTATCAAAGATAAAGGATAAACGATATGTACACTTTTGGCATAAAAAAAGCCTCAACAGATTTCATTTATGGTTCCAAATTTTGCATCAAGGAGCTGAAACATTGCAAATGGTTTCAACAGCTTATGGCTCAAGATAACACTGAAATTTTGTTGTTTAGTTCATTTACGCTTAGGTGCACACCAAGGTTTTCATTCAATGTAGACGACATAAGTGCCAAAAATAGACATCTAAAGTTCATGAACCTGTACACTTTTGGCATAAAAAAAAGCCTAAAAAGGTTTCATTTATGGTTCCAAATTTTGCATCAAGGAGCTGAAACATCACAAATGGTTTCAACAGCTTATGGCTCAAGATAGCACTGAAATTCTGTTGTTTAGTTCATTTGCACTTAGGTGCTGATGCGGAGCATCATTAATTAGCTAAATATTAGTTATCATCACTAATTAACTAAGTATTAGTTATCTATCAGCTTATTAGCATTTAGTTTGTTATTAGCACTTAGTCTGTTATAGAGCATGTGCCCACTACTCTTGTTTATGGAATTAGTTATTTCGTACTAGCTTAGCCTTTACGATTCAGCCCTTTTCTCAGTAACGGCTGAAGGTAGAAGGAGGAGGTTGGGAAGCTGTAATAGCAGTTTTTTTACTCAATACACAAGATAGTAAACCTTTTCTACAATTCGTTTTGCTTGTTCCTCTGTTTTCTTACCTTGCAGGTGTTACCTACATCATCTTTGGTATCAGAGCTCGGATGACAGACACAAGCAACCGGGTGGCTGTCGGTGTTGACAACAGCTTGGAGTGCCTTTGGGAAGAACATCGCAAACTAGCAAGGCAAACGGAAGAGATGGCCGCGGACTTGCGCAGGTATTTCGATGAAATGTGTCATGAGCTTCGGTTGATTAATGCGCGACTAGATAGGAACCAAGCAGCGCCAATGACCGGTACAGTAAACCTGTCGTCAAGGAGGCGTGGGTTCGAAACAGATTGTGGCCGTCAACGAAATGCTCAGACGCTGGAATTATCAGACTCAGAAGGAGATCCTGAGCGATTTAGAGCTCTGGATTTGTCGGATTCGGAGGAGGAATTAGCCCCGTACCGGCGACGCCGTCCGATGGGAAGAGATCGTAATCAAGGTGATTTCCGAGTTAAATTGGATATACCATTTTTTGACGGTAAGTTACACATCGAGGATTTCTTGGATTGGGAAAGAGCCGTCGAGACCTTTTTTGAGTACCTGGAGATTGATCCTGAGAGACAAGTGAAATACGTTGCTTGTCGATTAAAGGGTTGTGCAAGTGCGTGGTGGCAGCAAGTTATTCAAACCAGAAGAAGAGAGGGTAAGGGATCAGTACGGAGTTGGTTGCGAATGAAACAGTTGCTCCGGGGGCATTTTTTGCCGACTGATTATGAACAGATGTTATACGTGTAATATCAACATTATTCCCAAGGTACGAGAACTGTGAATGAATATACCGAATAATTTTATAGGCTGAGTGCCTGAAATAATTTGCATGAATCTGATAATCAATTGGTTGCAAGATACATTGGAGGTTTGAAGGAATTAATTCAAGATAAACTTGAGTTGAATACAGTTTGGTCTTTGTCCCAAGCCGTAAATTATGCGTTGAAAATTGAGATGCAGTCGAAGAGGCATAGTCAACAAAGGCAGAACCAGAGGGTGTGGGAATCACCCGTGGATGGCTCTAAAAATATTGTTCAGAATTCGGCTTCAGCTAGTAAGCCAAATACTAATTCTTCTGAGGCAGCACCAATGACTAAGCCAGCTGAATTTAAAGGAAATTGGAAGGGCAAGGCTCCAATTAAAGAGAATCCATATGCTAAACCAACCAATCTCAAGTGTTTCTGATGCTTCCAGCCTGGTCACAAATCGAATGAGTACCCAACGCGAGCTCAATTACAGTTATTAGAAGGTGAAAATGATGAAGAGGAAGGCAATCTCACGGAAGGCATTGAGGAAGAAACCGAAGACCTGGTGGGGGATGAGGGCGAAACACTAGTTTGTGTAATGCAGAAATTGCTTTTGGCACCTCGGCGACCTGTTAGAAATTAGCGGAATGCCCTTTTCAAAACGAAGTGCACTATCCAAGGAAGGGTGTGTGATCTGTTAATTGATAGTGGTTGTACTGAGAACGTCATTTCTCGTGCTGTAGTTCAAGCCTTACAAATCAAAACTTCGAAGAATCCCAACCCATACAAGATAAGTTGGGTTAAAAAAGGAATGGAGATGGTTGTATCTGATTTGTGCGAAGTTACATTCTCCATTGGAAAACACTATGTGAGTGAAATTTTATGCGATGTAGTGGACATGGACGTGTGCCATTTGATTTTGGGGCGTCCGTGGCAGTATGATGTGGGAGCTATCTATGACGAACAAGCAAACACGTATTCATTTGAATGGAAGGGCAAGAAACTCAGATTAATCCCCAGATCTCCTGACCAAGATGCAATTGATAAAAGTCCAAATAATGCACTAATTGCTGTTACGGGTAAAGCATTATTAAATGCTTGGAAAGAATCTACCTGCATGCTGGCTCTTGTGGTCAAAGAACAAGCTTGTTCTATCCAGTTTGTCAAGTTGCCGAAAGTCGTTGATGCTCTGTTAAAACAATTTGCTGACATCGCTCCATCTAAGCTACCAGCGGGACTCCCTCCGATGCGGGCAATACAACATCAAATTGAATTTTATCCAGGTGCTTCTTTACCAAATTTACCTCATTATAAGATGAGTCCCAATGAGCACAAAATATTGCAGCAAATAGTATAAGAGATGTTGGGCAAGCAACTGATTCAAGAGAGTTTGAGCCCATGCGCGGTACCTGCTTTATTGGTGCCCATGAAAGACGGCAATTGGAGGATGTGCATGAACAGTTGAGCCATAAACAAAATTACAGTAAAGTTCTGTTTCCCAATGCCGCAGATGGAAGATATGCTAGATAAGCTTTCAGGAGCATGTATTTTTTCTAAGTTAGATCTCCGAAGTGGATATCATCAAATTCGAATTAGGTCGGGAGACGAGTGGAAAACAACATTCAAAACGCGCCAAGGGCTATATGAATGGAAGGCAATGCCTTTTGGTTTGTGCAACGCACCGGCGATGTTTATGAGGCTAATGAACGAAGTATTGAAGCCATTCCTCAACAAATGTTGTGTAGTATACTTCGACGATATTTTGGTGTTTAGTCCCAATTTGGAAGAGCATACTCAGCATTTACGATTCATTTTTGAGTCACTGAGAGCCAACAAGCTCTATTTGAACTTAGCCAAATGTGAAATTGCTGCAGCAAAGATGATGTTTTTGGGATTCATTATTTCGACTGAGGGGATTATGGTAGATCCGAACAAAGTAAAAGCTATTGTGGAATGGACGACGCCGCAGAATATGACTGATATTCACAACTTTCACGGATTGGCGAATTTTTATCGTCGATTTATTAAAGGGTTCAGTGAAATTATGTCACCTATCACTAATATATTGAAGCAATCAAAATTCTCTTGGGGTGCCGAATAGCAAAATTGTTTCCAAACTATAAAAACTGCACTCTCCACTGCTCCCGTACTAGCATTACCTGATTTTAATAAACCCTTTTCGGTAGATACAGACGCTTCCGCATTGGGTATTGGTGCCGTTCTTTCGCAGGATGCTAAACCTGTGGAATTTTTCAGCGAGAAGTTAAGCCCGTCAAGGCAACGTTGGACGGTCTATGAGCAAGAACTTTATGCTGTAGTTCGAGCTTTAAAACAGTGGGATCATTATCTGATTCACCAAGATTTCATCCTTTGCAGCGATCACAAAGCGCTGCAATACATTAACTCGCAACGGAATATTAACCGGATGCATGCTCGCTGGATCATCTTCCTACAAAAGTTTACTTTTGTTTTAAAACACAAGAGTGGAGCACAGAATCGAGTGGCTGATGCTCTCAGCCGCCGGAATTCCCTTTTAACCATTTTACAAACTGAATTTGATGGTTTGACATGCTTGCAGGAGCTCTATTCAGGTGATGAGTATTTTAAAAATCCATGGAAGCAATGTGAGAACAAGGAGCCTGTTGCTGAATTCTCCATCCAGCAAGGTTTTCTGTTCAAAAACAATTTACTTTGTGTGCCGATGTCTTCATGGAGGCAAAGATTGATCCAAGAAGCACATGCTGGCGGTTTGTCCGCCCATTGTGGTCGTGAAAATACTATAGCTGTATTACATAAGAGATTTTTCTGGCCACACTTGAGGAGAGATGTCACCAAGTTTATTCAGAGGTGTGCCATTTGCCAAGGTTACAAAAGCAGTGGACAGAATACCGGTTTGTATCAGCCATTACCGGTTCCGGAGACTATTTGGGAAGATTTAAGCCTGGATTTTGTTCTTGGGCTGCCTCGCACGAAGAAAGGTAATGATTCTATAATGGTCGTCGTAGACAGATTTTCTAAAATGGCGCATTTCGTCGCCTGTAAAAAGACTTTCGACGCTCTTCACATTGCCAAACTATTTTTTAAAGAAATAGTCCGTTTGCATGGTATTCCAAGAAGTCTCACCTCGGATAGGGATGTAAAATTTATAAGTCATTTCTGGAGAGAACTTTGGAAGAGATTGAACACAAAAATCCAATTAAGTTCATCCTATCACCCTCAAACAGACGGACAGACGGAGGTAGTCAACAGAACACTTGGCAACCTACTTCGTTGTTTGGTGCAAGAACATCCTAAGCTTTGGGATGAAGTACTCGGCCATGCCGAATTTGCTTTCAATTCGATGACCAATCGGTCAACGGGTAAGTGCCCATTTAGTATCGTTTATACTAAAATGCCCAATATTGTTCTTGACATCGCAGCCTTGCCCAAAAGCCAAAGCAAAGCCGCATCTACCCTGGCCGATCAATTCACGTCTCTGCTATCTGATGTTCGGTGCAAGCTTGAAGAGTCCAACATGCAATATAAATTGAAAGCTGATGCTCATCGAAGAGAGAAGATTTTCCATCCTGGGGAATTGGTATATGTGCGACTGCGCCGAGAACGGCTACCTCCTGGCAATCATTCCAAATTAACAAAGAAGAAATGGGGCCCTTATCCTATCAGCAAACGAATCAACAACAATGCTTATGTTGTGGATTTACCGGCCGAATTTACTACTTCCCATACATTTAATGTTGCTGATATTTATAGCTATGTTCCGCCGGATGACAGCTCAATCAACATTGAATCTGTAGACACAGATTCTTCTCAGGGCGGGAGCGTATGATGCGGAGCATCATTAATTAGCTAAGTATTAGTTATCCTCACTAATTAACTAAGTATTAGCTTATTAGCATTTAGTTTGTTATTAGCACTTAGTCTGTTATAGAGCATGTGCCCACTACTCTTGTTTCTGAAATTAGTTATTTCGTACTAGCATAGCCTTTACGATTCAGCCCTTTTCTTAGTAACGGCTGAAGGTAGAAGAAGAAGGTTGGAAAGCTGTAACAGCAGTTTTTACTCTATACACAAGATAGAAATCCTTTACTACAGTTCGTATTGCTTGTTCCTCTGTTTTCTTTCCTTGCAGGTGTTACCTACATCAAAGAGACTCTTAAAGTGGCACGAGGAACAGATTGTGCAAGCACCAAGGTCAGTTGTGAGCGGCTGAGCCCTCAAAAGGGTTGTGTATTTGAAAGAAGGTATATCAAAATTTACGCTCATGAAGAAGAAGAAATTAGATTCTTCTCCTAAGATTTCCTCTCCTACATGAGAGGAGGCAAAGAGGTGCTGTTCGTCGGGTGTGGGGGACTGATTACTTCTATTGGGATTCCCTACAATCGAAGAAGAAGGTACCACATGTCTCCCCGATACCCTGGGGTGCCCATAGACAAAAGGAAGGGGAGGAGTGTATGGATTGATTATTATATTAAGGTTTCATTTGGGATGATTTTCTTACTGTTTATTAAAATATTTTTTTAGTACAAAAATTCAAATTTTAAAAGCTGCTTTAAGAAACAACAAGAAAGCCATCCCAAAAGAAGCCCAAGTCATTGATCTGATTTTTTAAAATTTCCCTCATTTCCTCCCACTCCAATTTCCAACATGCAAATACTAACAAGAAGCTGCATAGAAACTTCTCCTTAGCTTGGGGAGCATATAAAAACAAACAAAATCAAAGGAACTGTTAAATCATTCAGATACCATCATATGCTTTCACGGCTGAACAGCTGACATTCCGCAAGAGAAACCGAATCAAAGGAATGATTGCTTCGGTCGCAGAGCTATATGTGATCTTTCTATACATCCCAAATACTATGATCAACCATAGTTGTAGGCAGCGAAATAAAATGAGAAAATTACAGTAAAATATTTTTATTTATAACAAT